ATAGCCACTAATAAAAGCAGAAAAAGTATAATTGGAAGCGATACAATTTATTAGGAGGATTCTATCCACTCAAAATACATGCTTTCAAGACACAAGACTCAAATTTACTAAAGGAATTGCGCATGTTCACTTTGCAGAGTGATTTTTCCCTTAGCAAGGAAATTTTCACTTAACTTAGTGAATGTGGGAAAACTGTGCTGACTTCAGTCATCTTCAAGAAAAGAAAACAAACATTTTCCTTGCATGTAACGGTATTCTTTGCAAAAATTTACTTTTAACCTTTTTAATAAGCTGAGTGAACATTGGCAATAACTTCAGTAAATCAGGGACTTAAAGTCAATTATATAGGGGGCTAGAGATTCTGATGTTGGAAGATGTTTGAAGGCATCTGACTTGCTTACTATATATGAAGGCAACAACTGCTTGTGAGTTGTCCAACACCTAGGGCAATCGGGGAAGGTGCTTGTAATACCCAGCTCTGCCACAGATGTAACATATGTGAATTTGGATGTTACAATGAGGAGGAGCTGCAGCTGATTGGTGGAATGTCACCAGCAAATTCAATAGGGCAATGTAAAACACTATATTGACTGCAAATCTAATGACCCTCCCCCTCAATTATTACATATCAGGGCCGGCAATTTTGTGGAAGACAGTTTATCTATTGGTAGGTTTCTAAATACTGGGAGGAAAGCCATGAAAACATGGGAAGAACATACAAGCATCCAAGTAGGCACAGTGTTATGGATGCAAATCAAAACCCATCTAGGCTTTTTAATGGGCATGGCATCATGTCCAACAAAAAGACCTAGATGCATTGAAAGCTTGTATTTGACATCTATTGAGCCATCAACTATATAATAAATGGTATCACTTCAAAACCACTTTTCCTGCTTCCGAGCCGAGAATGAGATGAAGACTACAAGTTGGCTCTTCAAAACAAGTCCTCCCTGACCTCTAACTGCAGATACGGGGGAGAAATGTATTTGCAAGTTCACAACAGAACCAGTGAAATGGCAGCCTCTCTCCTAACAACCTCTCACAGATTCTGCAAGCAGTTGGAAAGGACTTCAGAGTCTATATTGTTTTGGTTTTTTTTAGGATAAATTACTTCATAGTATCAGCTACAGATGACAATAAAGGCTTGCTTTAAAGTTCTTTAACTGTTTAAGAATATGTAATTAATTTAATGTCCATATGCTGGGCGCAGGTGCATTTTTAGTTCTGGCATCTTGTGTTACCTGCATGTACCTGCGTTATCAATCTTTGGGTAACTCCTTGGATCCAGGCCGTATACATGACCGTGACTTCTCTTTAAACTAAAAGTAACCCCCTGTGCTCATTATTCAATTGTCAAATTAAAAACCTCAGTGTCTAGTGGAAACGCTGGTATTTGACAGATGAACAGTAGTTGAGGATCTTGAAGTGACACTAAACTCAGGAGTTAAACCTTAAAAATGCATCCAAGTACCTTAACTATTAACAAAAATTATTATTTACAACAACTATTAACAATCTTATTTGTGTATCACTCAGCTGTAGATCCTCAAATCATCTCTGAATTGGTGCCGACACAGACCTTGCTTCTGAAGGGTGACTACTTTTGTTCTCTATGGTCAGTGTGTGTGTGTGTGTGTGTGTGTGTGTGTGTGTGTGTGTGTGTGTGTGTGTGTTGTGAAGTAGTCATCGCTCCAAGCCCGCTGCTGTGATGGATTACAATTTCAATACAAATTAGTAAACGTGAGATTGTAGTCCATCACGGGAGTGAGCTTGGAGCGGTGACTACTTTACAATACACACAGGGACCAAGAGTAACAAAAGTAGCCCCCCTCCAGAAGGAAGGACAGTGTCAGCACCAATTCAGAGATGATTTGGAGGATCTACAGCCAACTAATGCACAAATAAGATACATTTATGTTAATAGGATAATTTAATTAGTTTTTAAAATTGAAAAACATGCGTTTAGAGTCACTTGAAGCTCAACTTGGAAAGCAGTGGTGGCCCTGTATACGATCTGGGACGATCCAAGGGGCTCCATGGGTCACATACATTTGTAACAAACAAAAAAGATACCTTGTCGCACTACTTACCGGAAAAACCCAAAGTTGAATGAGGGGGGTGCTTGTAGTGACCTGCGGATGGCGCTGCCACACAGTATAAAGATGAATAAATGTCACCAGTGCACAACCAGTATTGCAGTCCAAAGAGTTTGTTTTTTGGAACGTCATGTCACCATGTGACATCATGTGACATGACGTTCCAATAAACAAACTCTTTGGACTGCAATACTGGCTGTGTGCTGGTGACATTTGTTCATCTACATACATTTGTAAGACTCATACAGTTACTGTGAGCACCCACAAAGTGCCCGAACTTCAGCCATATGATAGTTACATTGAGCACCATTTTGCCAGGCTCACATTAAGTAGTGCATGTATGTTTATTAGTTCTTGAGAAAACAGAAAATGTGCCATAAGTGACTGGGATGAACGGCTATCGTACAATTTGCTGCATTCATGGAACTTGACAATTACTTTCCTAGCATGGAAAAGTTACCAATTTAAAGTGGATAACACTATATGTGCTGTTCTGACAATTTCATTTTAATTATCAATGTTAGCAAATAAAAAAATCACGCCCAATAACAAATTATCAATGCACACATGCTTGGAAAATGTAACAGTGGATTGTAAAAAAACAAGATGGATGTAAACTGTCAATTTAGCAATTGTGGAAAAAAATATTCTATTTTGACCTTTAAAGAAGAACCGTACACACAAGAAAATCTCTAGCTCCTGCCTAGTTACCAGAATTTAGCAAATTGGGGGGCAGAGTCTTTCATAACAGTTATCCCTGTATGGATAAAACAAGGCACTACCTTAAAGCCCAACTGGGGCCAATACAATTTTTAGCTTTTGAGTAGAGAAGGACCTTGTCAAGTTCTTACTACCATCTCTCCATCTGGCAGATTTCGCTCCACATCCTATATGACCGGAGTCAGAACAAGAAGTGAATGGAAACCTCAAGGAGTATACAGACAGCAAAAAGTTTTACCTGTAGTTGGGCTTTAAAGCAGAATTGATGTAAAAACAAACCAAATGAAAACTAAAATTTGTCATGTTAACAAGCAAGACAGACAGATTAGATTTAATGCATATTACCAAACAGGTAGAGCTCAAGGCTTGTTTGTATAAAAAGAGGAAAGAAAAACCTTTAAATGTATATAAACACAACACAGCCATTATTACTGTCTTCCCACAATGGCTTTTGGAGACTGCAAAAATGTCATGGATTAAAAAGGGATGCCATCACCCCAAAACTGGATATATACAGAGTACTGTACTTTACCAAATCCCAAATAATGGTTTTAATAAACCCATGTGTGATTATAATTATACAGGAGAATAGTGGCCTATGGTTCCTAAAAGTTATTCTGCTTTTCAGCAGCTTTGATGGGAGAGCACTTCAGCAGTCAGAATAATAACACCAATTTGCTATTCACTTACTAGGTGACCATGAAACAGAGGGAAACCTGTGACAAGTAAACATCTTTTCTACTAGGCATAAAGACTTGCCTTTTCCACACCAACCCTACTTATCCCTTACTGAGCAGATGAGACGAACGTCTGGTCCCATCTACTCATTACATAGAAAAGCTGCTGGACCCATGCTAAGCCATCCTCAAACATGTTTTAAAAAAAAAGGAGCAAACAAGTATTAAAAACAAAAACTGTAAATGAATGACACTGTCCCATGATGGAAAGATAAAATTGGCTACATTATTGTGGTAAACACTGTTTCCACTACCTACCTCTGCTTTGAGTATGCATACTACACATTTAAAGGCAACTCCATGTTAATCAGAAAAGGGAGGAGAGTGGTAGTGTGTAAAAGTATACTACCCTCATGGTCTCTTATCACCCGAGCTGCCTCGTAAAGGGACCGTTTTATTCTAAAACTCTAAAGCAAAGGCATGTTTGTAAAAAAAAAAAAAAATGTTGGTGATCTTGAAGTCAAAAGGTTTGTAAGCTGCTTAAAATGCTGATTAAATCAACTACAATGGATGCTGCTCCTTGATGTTTAAAAATGTGTTTCCTGCAGAAACAGCTGGTCCCCTGAGCACCGGCCCCGATATCCTGTTTAAGGGTGACTCCTTTCCTTTGCATTGGAGTCACTCTTGTGTGTGCTAGTAAGCTGTGCGCGTCTCCACAAACACACAGGCACAGCAAGGCAAGCCATTCCCCTCCTCCCCACTCTTCTCCAAGCTAGTAGATATATGGCTGCTGGAGACTGTGCTGTCCTTTGTTCAGGGAAGTGAAGCTGAGGGAGTTGAAACTGTTTGGAAACAAGATGACTGTGTGCTTGGGTTAAGATATAAATACTTTGCTAAGCAATGTATTTTTGATTTGAATTCATTATTGAAATTCAGAGTTTAAATACTACTTTAATGATCACTCCTCCCACAACTTATCTCTGATGTCTGAGCCATGCTTGCTGAAAACCCTTTAGCATTTAACACTACTGGGTGTTCCGGAACGCTGATCACTCATGTCCTGTAGCCACTCATGGACCACTGTGTGCAGAGGAGTACCAGACTCGCTTAAAGTGTTGGATGCGGAAGATTTTTCAGGAAGCATAGCTCTTGAAGGCAGTGAAGTCCGCAGCTAGCCAGGGGCAAGTATTAACCCTGTTCTACGAAGGCATGCCTTTGATTTTGCGTTTTAAAATGGTGACAGTCACTTTACAAGTCCAAATGTGACCTGTGTCCAAATGACTACAAGGACCTGCTGTCTGTACCTCCAATTTCAAGTCTAAAAGTTCCCCATATTGTTGGTTCTAACACCTAGTTAAGAGAGGCAATAAAAGGTATAGTCTGCAAGTCCTTGCAGCTCCTCGAACAAGGGCTTTTAAGCAAACTAATGGACGAGTGGAGACCTAGTAGTGTCATTTACACATTATATTCTCTTCCATTTGATTTCATGGACTGTTACTTGTCAAATTACAGTGGAGTTGCTCTTTAGTTGCTGCATGTGGGAGCAATAGATTTTACTAAATCTGTACAAATCAGCTACAATTTCAGCATATATATAAATATACATGTCAATAAATATACATATGTTCATGACACATGTATCGATATTATTACAAAGGAATACACAGTTATGATTGTAGGCATACTTTTCTTGACATGTCATTTGGAGCCAGTAAGACATGTAGAATAAATTAAGATAATTTATCAGTGTGTGGCTGCATATCATTTCACTCCGTCACATCCTTAGACTTTCCTCCCTTCCATTGTGCCCAATATGCCAACCATTTTGTTGTACAAATGTGACAGTTCCCCTTGCACCCTGAGTCATGTGGCATACTGCACCCCTGAAGTTATAAGTGTTGGCACCAAACTCCCGGAATGCTCACTGCTCTTAGTCACAGGATTTGATTAAAAAAAAATTACAAGGCCAAATAGGACCTCAACAACTGATTCTTGAAAGTCTTTAATAGTGGGCTATCATGAGCTTAAAAGATTATATACTAAGGCAACTTTTTGTGTCACTGAGGTCCCCCAGTTTGCACCATTACGTGCAAATAAAGTCCATTAAATAACACTGGATAATAAAAAAAACAAAACAAAAGAACACAAATTTGAAAAATGCATTCCCCCATATACACAGGAGCCATAGGACCTACAGTGACAGGCAGTTTAACTTAAAAAAAAAAGTAAAAAAAAAAAAGGGTGGAAAAAGGTGGGTTCAGTGTATCCATGATAATGACCTGAGCCAATCAGAGCTTCCCATGTCTTCATTCTCAGGAAGGTAGTAATCCAGATGGTATAGAGGAAATGTGAGAGCAAGCTTAATGGGGCAGAGAGCTCTGATTAAGAATCTGGTTAAGAATCACCTGACGTAACACTGGTAATTAATGGCAGGCTGATGCCCCTACCCTGTACTCTTCTGGCGGTTGGCGGTGGTGGGGGGTGGTTGGAATTCTCCATCCTTTTTTTAAATATATATACCCACAGTAAACCCAGCTGGTCCCACTGCTACTTTCCACTGCACCTGAGCTCAAGGATCAGAGGTGCACGTTTTTTCAGTCACGGTATATGGCAGTATCTAGAAATCCAATTGCTATGTAGCCACATGATGGGGCGATGGGATAGACACAAATTCACGCAGGATATTGCGGGCCATCTCAATGTTGTTGTGGGCAATGAGCAAGGCTTTATTCACATCTTGCTGAGAATACCCCTGGCTCAGTAAACTCTCAATCTCGCTGGAGAGAGGAGAAGCATCACCACCAGGCGGTGCAGGACGACGCTCAGAGTTCATCCTCCTAGGAAAGGGCTTTGGTGGACGCTCTGGGACCGGTGATGACTCTTGGAGTCCTGCAAAAAAAAAATAACAAAAATCTTATTATACTGTTTTTTGTTTACAATAAGTTTTTATTAACATTTCGCTCAACCTAAGGCACAAATACAGCATAAATATGGCCATTCCAATATACAATATTCAAGACATTTAAACGGTTATATAGAGAGCTGGTTGTACATGAGACCAAACACAGTTTAGACACATAGGGTAAGAACAAAACAGTTAGGTAAACTGCAGGCACTATGCCTATATCATCTTGATATTTGGTCACATAGCTCTTCAGTAACAGGCCTTGAACCAACATGCAATGTTCAGTGTGTCTTAGGTCTTAAGGGGATATGAGGGGTAAGAAGGAGGGGAATAGGAATTCCACAAGGGGGGTAGGGAGGGGTCTTATTATACTGTTTATTACAGCTGGACTTTATCTGTATACCAAAAATCAGATATTAAATGAGATTTCGGCTAGTAGGTGGGAAACCTCTTCAATCTGGCCACAGTTATGACTAGCAGGGTCAGCACCCATCTTACTCCCTCCAATCAGATGGTTAATCAGGGTCATAGAACAGCTCAGTGTTCCACAGTGTTGTATGGAACATATTCAGTTACCAGCCAGATCCTCCCTTATACCAGGGCCCCCAATTCTTGCATCTTTAGCTTCTATGGAGAAGAACAGTTGCAGGCTCTTGCAAGGTCCAAATGTATTACATGAACTGCATTTCCCACATCCAGATTTAAACCATCTACTTAAAACTGATCCTAATATACTTAGCCAGGTAAGACATCCCCCGAAAATAAGACCTAGTGTCTTTTTTCGTGACACTGTCTTATTTTCGGGGAAACACGGTATTTCAAGAATTTTTATGATCCTATGCTCTATTTTTGTAGCGATCGCTCAGTTATCGCTGTGATGTGAAATACCATCCCATATTTCAAATTCTTAGCTCCCCTTTGTTTCGACCAACAATGCAGACTGAATCCCTACGCACTGGGACTGATTTCCTCTATCGACTCTTCTCTCCGATCCTCTGTGACCGTACAATCGTATCAAACTCAGGGGGCAACAGAGCTCAACTCTCCCACATCTCCCAAGGACTGGCAGGAAATTTGGCAGGCTACCTCCAAGTGTTCAAGCAACGTCTTGATATTGGAAAACTCCTATTAAAAAAAAGGTACTGTAGGGATGGCATTACACCCTGGTGAGACTGGCAGGCTTTGTGCCTGGTTATTCCTCCACTTGTTAACGTGGCTGCGACTCCGCAGGTACGATGACACATATCTGGTGCTCTGTCTGGTTGCCTGGAGGCACCTTCATACCTCCCTACCCAGAAATCCTTGTGAAGTGTTACTCAAGAAACCTTTAGACTCTATTACTTAAGGAGCAGAAGCTTGCACAATATATCTTTATGGCCACCAAATTACCAGAAAATTACTACTTTCAGCTTTGTTGCTGTTAAGAATCGATTGACAGATATCATGATTAACGAGAAATTGAGTGCTATCTTGCTGGATACTGAAAAATACTTAAGATTCAATGTTGAGCTGACTTAAAGGGAGAACTATGGGGTCAGTGTTTTTCCCCATAGTTCTCCTTAGGGTAACGGGAGGACACAAACTAGCGTCCTCCCGTTACCCTAAGCTCAGTATACCGCGAGCAACAGCTGAGACGCCGCAGCCGGAGCGGATCCCGACTTAGACGACGGGATCCGCCCAGCTGCGTGAGTGACAGCTGGCTCTGCCTATCTAGAGACAGAGCCAGCTGTACCCGCCCCCTCCCCCTTCCGTTGGCAGATCGGATAGAGGGGAATCCAGCCCCTCCCCCTGTCACGTCAGAGATCCGTGACAGGATCGAGGTGAGCGAACCTGGTATGTGTTCGCTCACCTCCCGATCTACTGAGCCGACCTGTAACAGTCTCATTGTCACAGGTCGGCTAGAACTATGAGGTGAGTGGAAATCACTCATCTCACAGTTCTCCTTTAAGAGGAATTAAAGAATGGGCCCGTATATTTAACCGAGACCTTGTGCGTTTGAATGCATGGCATTGAAATAGACATCCCTTTGCTTTGTCCTTGAAATCTGAGCTATGTCAGAATTTGAGAGAACTTTAGTGTTAGCAGCTGTTAAAATGTCAAAAGAAGGAGATCTGTCTTTTAAAATAGGTTTGTAGAATGACATTTAGAAGTTCATGACTTGAAAGTTTTGAACGAGCCTCATAGAGAGAGTATAGAATATGACGTCAAAGTGAGGTTAGAATAGATTTCCAAAGTATATGACCTTATAAGATTAGCCAATAGTTAACATTGCTTTAGAAATATAAGCAGAGAATACCTCTGAGAATGGGCACATTACATTACATCAGAAGAGAACTCTACACGAGGAGAGACACACCCCATAGAAGACTTTGTTTTTACACCTGTTTTGAAGACTATTATCGTCTAAAATCTCCACAAGCCTGAGAGACTTCAAGACACGAGGTGATGTTCAGAATACTCTAACTCTGTATTAACTTTGAACTATATTTTTTGAATTATCTATTTGTATATTCATTTTTTGCTATATCATTGTATGCTGTTGACTTTATTCTATACAATTAAAGTCACAAGATTTTCATTCAACTGGACATTCTTTAATGAAGATTATAATCACCTTAAGACACTTAAAGCAAGTGTCATTCAAGGAATTTTTCCAGCAGATACCCACTCCAAATTTTTGTTGATTTGGCAACCCTGGATCTCTTACTCACAGTCTCCCTGCTTTGATGCATCATTATTGTCCCTTCACCAATTTTGGTAGCTTTTCACTGGGATGCCTCTCCTATTCTCTACCTCTTTTTCTTATGCTATCTCTTCATCTCTTGTCTTTTTTCCTATGTGTGGCCTTTGGATTCATACAAATTTTGAAGAGCGATATAGCACACTACGAGGTGAATTGGAGCATCCAGGATCTGGAGCAGTGGCCCATGGCAACCAATCAGCATCTCTCTTCAGTTTGCTCAGGTAAGATTTGAAAATGAGACCGAAGCTGGTTGGTTGCAGTGCAAATCTGCTCCAGATTTTGATAAATTCCCCCCTCCATGTATAGTATTTGTGACGCTCTTCTACGGTCTTTTTAAACATTTATATTCTGCAATACCCACACTGTTTTATATTGCTGTCTACTTTTGCACTAACTTTGCAATTTGTTATGTTCCTATGCTGCTCCAGTAAAAACTTTTGGAACAGAAATATTAAATACCAGAACTGGACAGACCACAATATACCTCACTGAACCTTCAGATAATCTGGAACGTAATCACCTGATTAATGTTAGAGAACTGTGTTTATGTACCTGCTCCAGAATCTCTGCTGGTAGTCGCGGAACTGAAGGTAGGTACGGCGTTTGAGATATCAGAAAGTGTGCGGCGAGCTGGAGCTAATGGCAGGTGTGGCTTTGGTACCTCATACCCATCATCATCATCCTCCTCCTCCTCCGGCCCATTGCTTGCCATGGCAGCACACTCCTCTTTATTCAGAAAGAAAAGTATTACAATGCATTTCATTCAGTATCACAAGGTCAGTCACCACTTTCATGAAAACAATTGGTATTTTTCTATCAAAAAGTCATTATATTAACTGTCTGTTACTTCACAACAAACAGATTTGGAACAAATTGGTGGTATAAGTCCAATACAATCATACATGAGGCTAAAAGCCACACACTGACTTGTTTCAGTAATGCACTAAACATAACAGTGTGCCGTAAGCAGTTACAAGCAATTCGATTTCTGTTTAAGGTTGTTGGATCAGTTAAATGGCGATTATGCACCCTGGGTTGCTTTACTTTGGATTATCACTGCTCTTTACATCGTCCATATGAATAAACCTAAAAATAAAAGCACTAGATTTACATTTTTACAATGCCACAATATCCCCACCATTCTAAGGAAAACCATTCAAGAGATGCTGCCTATTGAAGCAAATGTAGAACCTTCAGGCATCTAAAAGAAGAAGTTAATAGGTAATAGCTTATAAAGAAATATATAGTGAAATGACCAGCACAAGGGGACATGGGGAACAAAAGTAGTCACCCTCCAGAAGGAAGGACAGTGTCAGCATGAATTCAGAGATGATTTGAGGATCTACAGCTGAGTGATACACAAATAAGATACATCAGGTTAATAGTTAAGATCCTTGAAGATTTAACTCCCGAGTTTAGTGTCCCTAACTGTGGTAATATGTAAATCTGGTAATATGGCATTATTGTGGGGCTCACGATGGCGCTTGTGTAAAGATGGTTATTCTGGATCCGGTACCATGGCAGCTTTGTTGTCCTGACATTAATTATGGGTCTCAAGTCATGGCTATAATACTGATTTGAATCATTCAAAAAGGTCCCGTCCCAAACTTGCAAGCAATAGCACAGAAAAATGTAAGCATTTTGTTTGCTTATTTGCAGCCTCTTTCCATAAACACGTTTTAATGTGTAATGTGCTTTTGAATTTGTAAAAAATAAAAATAAACAACTCCAGAAAAAGTCTGCTGGAGCTGCAGACATCACATCCAAGATGGCGGTGCCCAGCAGTACTCTCGGGTCTTTTGGAATTCTACGCAAGGGAGACATTTTCAGGTAAATAACATGCATGAAAGAAGTTAAATGCACATCTAATCTTATGGAAAGACACTGGTAAAAGCAGTTTGTCATATTTGTGGTAGCTCTGCCTTAAAGCAAAACTTTGTGTAAAAATAAAAAATGGTGAACAGGCAGTTTTTTTTGTTTTTATTGCAGAGGTTATGTACTTTCTGCAATA